CCATGCAGTATACTACAGGGGCAGCAAATGGACCTCTGCCTGGAGAAAGGAGCCAACAGTTTTACATTGTGCAGTGTCTGCCATGATGGCCACAGGTAATAAATACCTCACTTTTATCTGACTTGGACATTGTCAAATGAAGAAAAGGATATTATAACCACCATAATGAGACCAAAATAAGACTTGCTTGTCTTATTTAATGTTTTTTTCAAAATTTTCTTAGGAATCAAATATTTCAAAATACTGCCATGCAAGTTACCCTAAGAATTATCATACCAGAGAAATTAGCAGAAAACCCAGTCCAAGATGGCAACCTGATATTTTTGAAGTAGTTTAAGATCCTGTTCATTATGAAAGCATTTCTCCCAAGAGCGATTACAATAGGTCATGTATATAAATCAGAGGCAAACCTGCTATAATTAATCAAGAAATGACAGCTTCTGAGGCTTTCAAATTTTGAAGAAAGGAAAAACAAAATGATACTCTAGTGATGCTTAGCTGTGGGTTGTTATATTCAAAAGGACACCTACCAGGACCTATTTTTGACCAGTTAAAGGTGCAGAGAAGGTAACTGCTAAGGATAAAGAGATTGAAAGCAATCAGAGAGAAGTATAGGAATATTAAGAATCATTCAAATACAAAACAGTGACTCATAATTAAATAATCCATTTCTTTTCCTGCTATTTTGGGTTACTGTCAACTGATTTATTCTTTTCATAAACCATTCCCCTCCTTGTCCTATTTCATAATCTTTATATCTGCACAAGTTACATGCACCTTCACACCCACACTTCAGTTTCATGTTACTTTTTCTGAACCTTGAACTTACTTCGGTTTTATATGTAGTGTTCTCTGTTATTTGGCAGGTATCTTTAATTGATAGTTGTTTTGAACTGCAATAATTTATTCTGACTCACCATAATTTATCCTTCACCTTCTCTACTCATATCCTTTCCTATCTGCCTGCTTGCCCATTTCCCCCCCCCCCAAATAATATGTAATTATAATATGTAGAATGAAAGCAGGGTCAAAGGAAACAATGTGAGATTATAAAGCCACAAGTATTAGGAACTTTCAAAATTGAATTGATGTAATACATGCAAACATGTTTTTCATTTAGGAAAAAATTATAAGCATGAAGCATATATACATACATATAGCATTCTGTATACTCTATATTTGGATTTTTATTTCTCTCCAAATTAAAACATAACCCTTGTGTGTTATATGTAGAGCCAGATGACCTTAGGTGATACACATTCTTTAGTAATTACATATTATAGGAGCCCTGCAGTGTTACTTCTTATATAACTCATATACAAAGTAGGAGAAGCGGGAAAACTATATATACCTAAATTTAGTTCTTTACATTTATTATCATAGTTGAATATTATCTTTTGCAGAGTCTGTTCTGGCAATACATTTTATTGGAGCATAGAACTTCCTAGTCTTTTCTGAGATAGGCTGTAGTGAATTTTGAAATGTATATTAAGGTTTAGAAAGGAAATGACTTCAGGACTACTCCATCAGTGAGTCCGCTTGGGTTTGAAATTAAAAGCAATGGGGCCTCCCTGGTGGCGCAGGCGGTTGAGCGCAGCACATGAAGCTGTCCACAGCCTCCAGTGCTGGTTCTATCCCCGCCGGCTGTGGAGCAACACACAAGTTGTGGCAGACCTCTCCTGTCTAGCCCGCTGCCCCCCTCAGTTTATTTCAGTCCGTCTGCCTGTTCTGTTCCCCACTGTGGCTCTGGTGAATCCTCTCACCCTCCCGCACATCTGGCCTGTACCCTGGTTCTTGTATAAATAAATCTTTAAAAAAAAAATTAAAAGCAAGCATTTTTGAACAATTCCAATTTTTAGTCCTTACAACGTATTTAAAATCTTAAGTTTATCTAGACATAGAAGATGAAAACTCTTAAAATGATTTTTATAGTGTTTTTTAAAAAAAGTTCTAACCACCTTAATGTCAGAGAAAGAAAATATTCTCATTTCCACAGCTTCTTTACTCCTACTTACTTCCAAATATATAAGTTGTTCATACAAAGAGATATGTAGAACTATGCTGGACAGAATGTGCAATAAATTTTCTTTAGCCTAATTTTTGACATGTGTGTTATTGATTATGTGTTGTATATTAAAATAAATAATTGCTATTGAAAACAGGTTTTATAGACCTAGATTTGTATTTTCCAATAGACAGCCACATGACTAGATTTTTTAATTGAAAAGAAGTTTTAATTAGAAACTGTTCCTCATTGGCATTGGACCATTCTAGACCATTTTTCTCAACATAAGGTCCTAATCAAAATCACCTGGATATTTGGGTTTTTTTTTTTAAATGCTAAATTTCTAGGTTCAACCCCAGATCCACTCAATCAAAGCCTATAAAGCAAGCACAGAAATCTATTATTTTCAAGTAGCATAGTGTAGTTTGAGGTCTTCTATTTGTTTATCAATGGGGAAGGGAAAGAATCTTCTAAAAGTAGATCTGTGAATGGGATATCAATGAAAAGATAGAGAGTTGAAGTGACATATAAGGTAGTCTTATAGGGATGGCCTACAGTGGGATGGAGCAATGTTTCAGACTATGTGGATTATCCCCAAATGCTTTCTCATGTATAAAAATCATGTGTAGTTCTCAAAACCAGGAGCACTCCAAGTGGTATAGTAATGAGTATACTGACCGAAGTAACTTTTTTGCTTAAATTAGTATTTGTATAAAATAGATTAGAAAAACGTATTATTAAGCAGTAAACTACCTTGAAAACAATTATCATGTTTTACTCATTTTGCCTCAGTACATATTTAGGTAACCAATAAATGTTGAACCAAAAAATTAATTCTTTAATTTTTCTAAACAGACTGGATTATGGACAGAGCTTGGAAAGATTGAGAATAATTTCTTAAAGCCACTCCATACAGGACTTAATATGTCAAAAGCACATTATGAAGCAGAAATTAAAAATAGCCAAGGTTGGTAATGTGTAATTTTGTTTTCGTTAGGCTTAAAAATTAGCCAAATTTTACAACTGTTTGCTAATTTATCTTGTACTTGTCTGATTTAGAGGAATCAAGGAACCATGACAGCTAGGTCATTTTACTTACAATTAAAATGATTCTTCAGCAGCTTTATAAGCCAAGTTAACACTGAAATTGGATTAACAAAGAGTTAAAACCAAAGGGAACTACATTGTGGTTTAAAATTAAGTTCTGATTACGCAACTCGTGGTTTTGATTTTTGTTTTTGAACAAATATTTGTTTGACTATATATTTCCTTTGGTATGGGGTGGGCCATTCCCCCGCCCCTCTACCCTTAAGTAATAAATCTGTACAAATCAGGAAAAAGAACTTACATCAAAGTCTGCAATTCTACAGTAAATTTATATTGTTCATATAACTGATATTTCTATAGACATCCCTAGAAATTGTCTTTTCTAGTGAAATAGATATAATTCTGATTATATAACTGATAAAAATTTATAAATCTTCATTCTTGCCCAACATGACAAAATGCTTTTCACCTCAAACATAATTTACATACTGTAGCATTTTGATACTCATTTTATTCTTATAGCTTGATTTTACACTTTAAATTAGTGAATGATGAAAGTAGTTTATAAATTTGTTTTAATGGTTAAGTGAGACCACATTGATATTTTTTTTTTTCTCTTCCAGAAGTCCAGAAGTCCAAAGATCTTTGTTACGTAACTGTAGGTGGGGAAGAGATCCCTAATATGCCTCCAGAAATGCAGCTTAAGGTAGATAATAAAATTTTCCTAAGCTATTGTACAATGAAGTCATTTTGTTTAAAAGGCAACATTAATAATACTAATTTTTCTTGACATTGCAGGTTCTGCATTCAGCTCTTTTCACATTTGATTTGATTGAAAGTGTTCTGGCTCGAGTAGAAGAACTCATTGAAATAAAAACAAAGTCTACCTCTGAAGAAAGTATTGGGATAAAATGAAAACTCTTCCTCCTAAATAAAAACTAATAAAATACTGTTTTTTCATTATGATTCATTTAATACGTTTATTAAAAATTTTCTTGTGAAAATAGTTGTAGCTAGAAAACTAGATGTAGCTTTTCTCATGTATCAGTGTATTCCTTGGTTTAAAAAAAATTACCTACACGGTAAATAATGCCCGTCTATGTATGGGCATTGAAAATTGAGTACAAACTAAAAATTTCAAATAGTTGAATTGTTAACCAGTTGTGATTTCATAAACATGCAAATACACATTGGGTTCCAGCTGGATGTTTGTTATGTTTTAGAGGCATTTTTTTTTTTTTTTTTTTTTTTTTGTTCGTTTGTTTATACATGCACTGGGTACAGTCAGAAGTGCGGGAGGGCGAGAGAATTCACCAGAGCCAGAGCGGGGAGCAAAGCAGGCAGAAGGACCGAAGTACACTGCTGAGGGGAGCAGCGGGCGGCAGGAGAGGTCTGCGCGCCATGTGGGACCCTCCTCCGGTGGCCGGGAAGCAGCTGGGGATTGAACCGGCACCGCAGAGGCCGCGGGCAGCTTCGCAACCCAACGCTCAACCGCTGCGCCACCGGGGAGGCCCGTTTGTTATGTTTTAGAACCCCTGAAGTCAAATTGGAAATCACACCATTCTAAGAGAGTAGAGGTTTTAGGTTCAGGCCAGTTGATTGCTTTTCATTTCCCTCTTCCTCTACCTCAGTCTCATTACCACCTCTTCAACTGCGGGTACAATATGAAAGCATCTGCAAAGACTAATTTTAGAAATGCTCGTTGCCCTTATGGAAAAACTGAAAAATAGGGCTTTTCATTTAAGGGTCTTACGAAAAAAGTGCTGTATTTTTACTTAGTATTTGTCCAACTTTTATCATTAAGAAACCGGACCTCAGCTTTACACATATATATGCCCATTTTTTCTAAACATTAAGGGAATTAAGCAAATCCTGAGAACAAAATCAGTTATATTTTATTTCAAATTTTTAAAGAATTTGATATATTTAAACATTATAATTTGTTTTAATATTCTAAAAACTTTTATAACTGATACTCTATTTTGAGTAAAATGAATCACTATTCAGGTTTATCTTTTGAAGTGTTTTCCAAACAGGACTTTGCTCAATGATGTAAGCTTTAGTTGTTGTCATTTTGTAGCAAATACTATCTATATGTGGTTTGGAGGTGACCTGAAAGACAGAAACATGCACCATTATAGAAATAAGTCCTTTTAGAGAGTTACTTAAAAAATTACCAACTTGTACATATCAACAAGTATCCACAACACTGTGTGCTAAATAATGAGTTATTAAAGTTACACAGGAAATTACCTGATCTCTGGTATTTCAAACATGAATGCAAAAAAGTAAAATATAACAATTGCTTTAATCTGTCCAAGAACAAGGCAAGCCTCAGTGCCTAGAGATATTGGGAGCACAGGCTTAAAGGCCTGAGACATAGGTAACTAGTGGGGAATCTTTCATAAAATAGTATGTGCTGACAGCTCACAACTACAGTCTAATCAATATCATTTGAAGGGAGATGGGCCTTCCTGGTGGTGCAAGGAGCTAAGTCTTAAGGATTATCAAGCTATTGGCAGCCACTGCAGCATGAGTTCAATCCCCAGGCAGGGAGCTAACCCACATAGGGCACAGCAGACCTCTCCTGTCTCGCCCACTGCTAGCCTCAGCAGTGTATTTCAGTAGATCTGTCTGTCCTGCTCCCTACTCTGTCTCTGGTAAATTCTCTCACCCCCTGCACCTCTGGCCTATTCCCCAACTCTTGTCTGTATAAATAAATAAAATCTTTTTAAAAAAAAAAAGAATTTGAAGGAGATTTAATAACTTATTAAGCCCCAAACAACATATGTATGGCCAAGTGCTGTTCTGATCCAAAATGAATCATCATACCACCAAAAGTAAATTAAGAAAAGAGGATGACTTTAGGCTTAGGAAACAGCTGCATGAAATAGCAACTTCTCTGAGGAACAGAACAGTAAAGTGTGTAAGCATAGGCATGTGCATTTTAAAATCAAGAACTTTAAAGTGCATTTATTGTGTTTGCATATATGTTGTTTCCTCAAGTGACTCACCTTAGCTACAGTGCACATAAGATTAATGGCATTTACTGTGTTATGTACTGGAAGTATCCGTAAGTTACTACCCAGGAATCTGAAAAACAGTTAATTAAATAGATCATATAACAATGATAGCTGTTATTTTAAATGAGTGAAAGATAAACCTCATCATTTGTCCATTCATGCTCTTATACCACAAAGGATTTCTATGGCTTTTCAGCCAGAACTAAATTGACTGAAGTGTTCAATTTTGGTTGATCTTGCAAAAGAATCCCATAAACTAGCATGAACTCTAGAACTTGTCCCCTTGATTCATAGGGTAACAACGTACCCTTCATTTTCATGGGTTAACATTATAAAATTTATCTTTTGGCAAAACAGTCACCTCTCTGAAAGAATTAACTGAAATAACAACTTAAGAAAAATAGGTAGTGCTGTTCTTCCGTACCTCTGCTGAATCCTGAACATCAATTTCCATTCCTCCAGCCCATGGAGGGCAGCACACAGAACCAAAAAGCTATTCTGGTGAGTGTTAATAAACTTCGTAATTTTGGCTAGAAATATTTCTTCAGTTGATGTAAAGCATTCTTTAGTATCCATCAGTAAAAATGCAACTCCTAAGAAAGGTGAATTTAACATGTCACTTCTCTATTTTTTTGGTAAACTCAGTAAAATCACCCAAAAAAAAAAGCTAAAATATAGCTATCAGAACTAAATCCATAAGGAGAAAACACAATATTCTTAAACAGGGCCTTCCTCTGCAGCACGAGTTCAATCCCCGGCCAGGGGGCTACCCACATGGCGCATCAGACCTCTCCTGACTTGCCCACTGCTCCCCTCTGCAGTGTATTTCAGTCAATCTGCCTGTTCTGTTCCCCACTCTGTCTCTGGTGAATCCTCTCACCCTCCACACCTCTGGCCTGTACCCCAGTTCTTGTATGCATAAATAATCTTAAAAAAATTCTTAATAGTTGAGGTAATTCTTTGAAGTGCTTTGTGTAAGACATTCTAATTATCACAGGGGAAAAAACTTAGTAAGTAGCCATTTCTTTTTTCCAGCTAAAGTCACTGTCCACATTGATGTGTTTGTATTGATATACAGATTTTTGACTAATGAATACTGTGATGCTGGCCTCTACTGAATTCTGGGGAGGTGCGTTTGTTTTATTTTCATTTTAGCTCCAAAGCAAGCAGTTTTTATCATCTACTTGACCCTGCTGATACCATGAGTTCACCAATTGTAATCTAAAAAATTGTTTTTTAGTCACATGCACCGCTTTTGCAGCAGTAACAAAGTTTTACACATCTGCCTCTTCCAAAATTAACACCTTAAGCTTATGACTTGATTGCAAAGTACCAGCTTACTGAATTTATTATATATTTTGTAAGAAATTTAATCAAGGCAGTTAGCAGATATACTGTACCAGAAAGAGAATATATAATCGATCCATTTTCCACTGAATCTGAGTATCGAACTCTGTGGCTTCGATTTTCTAGTGCAATTGCGACTTCAGAATTCTTTTAAAGAAAGTTAAGAAATACAAACTTAATATAAGCTTATAACCATTTTTTAGTAAAGCTAATTGAAATGTTTTATAACAATAAATTTTATAACTATACCACTTAAAAGACTGGATTATCAAAAATACTAAAGGTGACGTCTGGAAGAAGAAAAACAAAAATTTAGTTAGCTCTACTGACATACACTGATTGTAGGTTTGGAAATGAGTTCTGTACTATAGTTTTAAGAGAGAGAAATTAAGGGGAGTATTAAAGAACTGTAAGAACCAATGCAACTGCAAACTTTTTGTTAAAAAACTTGAAGATAGGTGCTTCCCTGGTGGCACAAGGGGTTAAGCAGCAGCACTATGAAGATACCCGCGACCACTGAAGCAAGAATTCGATTCCTGGCCAGGGAGGTGACCCACATAGTGCAGCAGACCTCTTCTGTCTCGCCCACTGCTTCCCTCAGCAGTATATTTCAGTCAATCTGCCTGTTCTGTTCCCTACTCTGTCTCTGGTGAATCCTCTTACCCACACACTTCTGGCCTGTACCCCAGTTCTTGTATGTATAAATAAATCTTTAAAAAAAAGAAAACTTGTAGATAGATTCTGACAGGCATTAATGTATACCTGGAAGGTAGGTGTAGTGTTTCTTGGATGGTTGATAGAACTATGAAGTTCCAGACACAGAATACTGCACAGTAGATGACCAATTCTCCAATTCACCTGTTTACGTTACTGCAATTTTTTTGTATACTTTAAAAATGTTTTAAACCTTAGGTTAGCTAGAAAACATGTATGAAGACAGTAGCAAGACTTCTGGCTTAAATACTGACCATTTTAAAAATCTCATTTGCTATTCCACTCAATCACCCCATATAACCCGAAACACAAAAATATAAGTAGTTAATAGTGTTTCCCAGATGGCTAATTCAAGGTGGTCTTTCTCAAGTGAATAAAAATACCTTAAGTATTATACCTCACAATATCTATAATTTAAGAACACAGCCTAAAATGATGTATAAAACAGATGCTTCCTCTCCTTCCTAAAAGTATTTTATGCCACTCAAAGAGATCCTAAGCTAGAGTTTAACTATGGCCCTTCTGAATTTTCTGCGGTTGTAAAATTACACAATGCTTTTTTTTTTTTTTTAAAGATTTATTTATCTATTTATTTATACAAGCACTGGGTACAGTCAGAAGCACGGGAGGGTGAGAGAATTCACCAGAGCCATAGCGGGGAGCAGAGCAGGCAGAAGGACCAAAGTACACTGCTGAGGGGAGCAGCGGGCGTCAGGAGAGGTCTGTGCGCCACGTGGGACCCTCCTCCCGTGGCTGGGGAGCAGCCGGGGATAGAACAGGCGCTGCAGAGGCTGCGGGCAACTTCTCAACCCAGCACTCAACCGCTGCGCCACCGGGGAGGCCCCAAACACAATGCTTCTAACAATGGCAGACTAAGCAGTTTAGGCCAGCCCTCCAGTTGAAGGCATCTAGAAAAGCTGGACAATTTAAAAAATTTCCTTGAATGCATCAAAGAGCTAGTAGAATAGTGAAAAATTACAAAGCCAAGATCTATACAGAAATTCAAAGATATAAGCCCAGCATTTAGGCCATTTCTTCCCTGAGGGCATCTGCCAATGCAGGAAGAGACAGATGAGAGGCTGAACAAAGCTTGTGACAAAAGTAGAACAGCTCTCCCAGGAACTGTATAGTCTAGCATCAAACCATTTCAATCCTGAAATTCTATTAAGGTGATACTGTATTACTAGTGCTCCCAACACCTTGCAAAAGCACTTCCTAGAGCAACCTTTCTCATGCAGATCTTCTCATTTGAACTGCAGAATAAAGAAAATCATTTGAATGACTATACTTTCAATTTTCTGTTATGTATCATTCTACATACAGAGAAGGTAAGTCCATGTATTATATACAATAAGTGCCTTAAGTCCTGGGTTGTCAGATTGCACTAATATACAGAACATTCACATGAATTTCAGATAAACCTAAGTTTTCAATATTACTATATCCCATGCAATATTTGGTACATATTTATTCTAAATTCATTATTTTATTAAAACGCAAATTTAACTGAATGTCTTATATTTAATCTGGTAATCATACTTTAGGGCTTTGAAGGCTTTTAACTCTCTGGCAGAACTAAGGCTTCCCAAATTATGACTAATTTTTTTCACACAAAAAACCAAACCAAAAGCACAAATTCTAGGTCACAAATTTTATTAGCATTTTTTCAAATACAAATTCCAATATACATGAAAAGTAATCAGACATACAAAGAGGCAAGATTACATGAAAAAGAACCATCAGAAATGAAAGGCAATAAAACTGAGAGCAGATCTGTATAGAATTATAAACAGACCAATCAGGTTTGACAGCCTCGAAAAGCATTCAAGGTTTTTGAGGCAACTGCAAACTGTAAATGGACTAATCTTATCAGAGCTTGACTTGCACCAATCAAACCAATCAGGCTTGAAAGGTGGGGACCCTGAAGAGGATATAGCCAGAGCAACAGCTAGCTTGATCCACTCATCAGAACCTTCACATACAGACTCATTGGGACTCCTGGAAAGACTTTCACAGAGACATTCCCAGACTTCAAAACCTCTGCAGACCTTTGCAGAAACCTGACCACTGCACCTGCCTCCAGCCCTGCCCCTAATATTGCCTGTAGAGAGCACCATCAGCCTGTCCTCAGTGTCTCTCAGAGTTGTTTGCTACTGGCTAATGCCAAGAGCTTTCAAAGTTTTAACCCTGTCTCTGGCACTCCTGTCTGCTGACTGGTGCTGGCCAGCACTGCTGACCTGTGTCTGGCCACTTCAGCGAGCTGTCCACCTCTCCTGATCCTCCAGTACTACCTCCTGGTGCTGCTGCATCCAGCAATAACTGGTCCAGCATGCAGTCCTGTCCAGTTCAGCCTTGGGACTGCTGCTGTTAGTTGCTGTGGTGTCACTTCAGCAGTGCCTCTGTGATCACCTCCAACTGCCACTGTGAGTTGGAGCTTAGTCCACCACTTATCATGTGCCCCCTGCTTGGAGGCTCTTGTCAAAGGCACCGTGCCATCTTGCATAAGCAGCCTCTGTTTTGGACTAGCGGACACTGCAGATGCTATCTGGGGCAGAACCAGCTGACCATTGATGGTCTTAGAAACCCTTTCCTTCTTCCCAATCTCCCCTTTGTTAGTAAATGCTGCAGGAGGCATTGTTGCCCCAGCCAGATAGGATACTGACAAGCAGCTAAGAGAAAGGGCCTCACACCGTGGGACTGAAGATCTGACATCCCTTTGCTTTTTGTTCTTGGTCATAGAGAAAAATTTATCAAAAAGTATATTAGGCAATTAATTATATGTATCAGCACACTGTAAGTAAATGGCACAGAAAATTGTTTAGAAATTAGTTGCTGGGGGCCTCCCCGGTGGCACAGTGGTTGAGCGCTGGGTTGCGAAGCTGCCCGCAGCCTCTGCAGCACCGGTTCGATCCCCGGCTGCTCCCCGGCCACCGGAGGAGGGTCCCACATGGCGCACAGACCTCTCCTGCCGCCCGCTGCTCCCCTCAGCAGTGTACTTCGGTCCTTCTGCCTGCTTTGCTGCCTGCTCTGGTGAATTCTCTCACCCTCCTGCGCTTCTGACTGTACCCAGTGCTTGTATAAACAAAAAACAAACAAATAAATATTTCAAAAAAAAAAAAAGAAAGAAATTAGTTGCTGGGCCGTTTGGCCCACTTGACAATGGGAGATGGTTTGTTGTGCATGCCTGACAAGCAATCCAGCACAAGTTGTAGTGGGTCCTTCTTTTGCCTTCTTTTGAAGTTTCTTGGGAAAGTTTTTAAATGAAGCTATTTGAGTTAGGAGTTTCTAGGTAGAAAAAGTTCTGATAGCTGAGTAGTAGCCGGTCCCCGGCTGAAGGCCACGCGAATAAAAAAAGTCTTTTCTTGCTTAGGCTTTGGCTGATAGGGATGTACTGGCGGCTATCTACTGTCTTATGTTATTGTTTAGCTGAAACAATGAGTTTTAGTGTAAGGCTTAGTTTTTTATTAACCTTGAAGTCTGCCTTCTTACTGAGAGCACCTAGTGGCCAAAAGCCTATGGAAAAAGAGATGCACTGATTGTTTCTGCTTTGTTTCTATGCACATGATAATGTAATCTCACTGCTTGCAAAAAATAACCTGCTGAGCTTCTAGAGAAAAGATACTAACACCTCACCAAGTGTCAGTGTCTCCTCATTCTACCTCATCCCCTTCCCCTTAGCCCTTCTGTTTTCGCCGACGCCGCCTCATCCTTTCAGGAACCCCTGACACGACATTTTGCCAGAGGCTGGTCCCCAGCAAGTAAACCCTGTTGTTGCTGCACCCTAAGCCTGAATAAGCCTGAGTAGTATCCTTATAATTATGACCACACATGTAAGAACCCACTGTGACCTGTTCTCCACCTTGGCACCGTTTCAGTTTCTCTGAAATCATGGAAAGCAACCCTTTTCTCTCTGCTACCTCTGCCCAACAGGCCAAACTGATCACATTAATGCAGACATATCAACTAGCTCAGGGAAAGACAGACAGCATTTATACAAATGGCACATACGCATTTGGAATCACACATGATTTCAAGGCAAAGTTATACAGCAGTGTTACTTAAACTCAACTGGCTGAACCATTAAAAATAAGCAACAAGTGAATCTGCACTGCTTAAAGTTGCACGCCGCCCAGGCCCCCCACACCCACTCAGCTGGGCCGCTCATCCTCGCCCCCTCCAATCTGATGCTGCCACCATCCAACCTGGCCATCTGGCTTTAGGTGCTCTGGAAGACCATTTGCTTTTCTCATTCACTCATCTGCCAGGAATAGACTTGCCACTGGTGCTTCGGCCTCCAATTCACTGAGAAAAGTAAATATTCCACTATGCATCTAGAAGCGGGGTCCCCCCACCAAGTCCCAACCCAGTGTTCATCAGCTGGGACTTGGCTCTGGATTTTGCTATGTTCCTTCCCGCCAATTGCTCGGAAGTTAAGACGGAAGCAGAGTTCGGAAAGAAGAGGATAATGTTTGCATCGGGGCTGATTTGCACATCCTTTGCAGGAAGAAGAGAATTCAAGAGAGAAGGGTTGCTGCAAATCTATCATGGAATTCAGATGTATTCTAAGCCTGCTGGAGTGACCATATTTCTAAGAGCTGATGGAGGCCAGGGGTCAGAGTGGCGGTGGTTCCCAGCCCTTGCTGCAGGCACCCAATGGTAGGCAGCATGGGGAGTCCAACCCCTGCGAAACCCTCATCTCGCAGGTACATGTTGTCTCTGGATCAGATCAAAGCCATGTGAAACACCAATGAGTACACAGAGGGACTCACTGTGGTCCCAAGACCTGGGCTGAAGCCTTCACCTTTCCTCTCCACAAAGCACAAACACTAACTGGTGGCTGAAGCCAATGACTGTTACAGGTGTCGTCTCCTAGAAGGTGGTGCTGATGAGGGTAGATAGCCCCAGGGGGGATGCGAACAAAGTGCCTGTGGTGGTAGAGACGCTGATTAGAAATATAAGGGACTGCAGCAGCAGCCCCAGGATTGAGCGTTGGGGTGATTAGCCATTTCTGCTTCCACCATACCAATTTTCCAGAAGGTTGTTGCAGGACTCTGAAAGACATGCAGAGACTTCTAGCAGCCAATCTCTGAAGAAAACATCAGAGGCTTTGCAAGTAGCCAAGTGACTGAAACTGTTCCCAGCTTTGCTGCTGTTAGAGCCTGGAAAGAAAAGGAAAAGACACCTCGCTGAGCTGCATATGGGCCATGTGTCAGGTTGTTCAGCTACTGCAGCTGCTGTTGATTGTCTGGTGCTGTGATGGCACATCTCAGCAGCAACGATGAGCATCTCCTGTTGTGTCTTCTGCATATCAAGAGCTGTATCTTGGCCTATACTTTGGCTGCCACATACTCCAGGTCCTCAGTGACAGGAAGATGCCATCTTGGGAGCATTTGTGTTTAGGACTATAAAACACCGGACACTGCTTTGGGTGAGATCAATGGCCATTTGTGGCCTCAGCGACTCTTTGTTTTTCCTTGTTTGTTAAATAAATCCCATTATTGTTGTTCTCTGAACTTGAGTAGTCTTGCAATTGTGCATGCTGGTGAAGAACTCAGACAGTGACCAGTAAACTATTTGGGCACTGTCCTTGGCCAGTTTTAGTGCTCACTGCCACACTGTATCAACATGAGAGACTCAATGGCTGCCTGAGCACTGCCAGCCTCCCAGGCTCCAACACTTACAGGTCCATTCTTCTGCACAAGTCCCTCTGTCCAGGTCCAGCTTGGGGTCTTGTTGCAGTATGAGGGCGCGTACCAGCAGCAGTTCCTCAGAACAGACTATTGAGATCATCCTTCTCAGTACCTGTTGCTGATGGTATAATCCAGGTGCAGTCCAAATCAGAGCTCAAGCTAGGTGAGCAAAAGCCACTAAGCAAGGAAGATTTGAGCCTGCATGCCCACAGGCATGAGGACTGTGGCAAGTATAAGTGCAAGGAGTGCACCTCCCGAGGCCTCTGCCATCAATGGATCTGTGACAAGCAGTGCCTGTGCTCAGCCCATCACGTAAATGAATATGGGACCTTTGTGAAAGGTCTCTCCTATTACTGTTCTAATGATGACGAGGATAATTGTGCTGACAACCTGTGTTCTTGCAGCCAGTCTCACTGTTGTACAGGTTGGTCGGCCCTGGGTGCCATGTCCCTCTTTTTGCCTTGTTTATGGTGTTACCTTCCAGACAAGGGTTACTTTAAATGGGTTGTTATGACCAGTTAACAGGCCTGGATGCTACTGTAAAAACTCAAACACAGTTTGTTGCAAAGTTCCCACTGTCTTGCCCCAAAACTCTGAAAAACCAACATAGCATCATTAATTGGGAATATTACAGTAATGGGATTGTTCTTTTTCTTTTTTAACACACACATGCAACTGACTAAATAATTAGAATCTTAGCACTAAAATAGAGGATTAGAATATTCTTTGTTATATGCAGTGAAACGCCTTTTGTTCACGTACCATTTTAACTGATATGCTTGTTAGAGCACAGCTAATGGAACTCAAAAGTATGGGAATACACAAGTTGGAGACCCACATGTTGCATAAGCTACAACAGCTCACACCTAGGCAAAGTTTTTGTTTGTGAATAATACTTGCAAAAATTGTAAGTTAGCAAATGACTTTTTTCCATTGTTTTCTCCAGAAATAATGTGCTATAATTTTGTATATACAATAACATTTGCAACTATGAAAAACAAGTCATGCCATACTACATGGCACAGTCACAACATATTTTACTAACATGTTGTACATTCGGAAAAATGTCAATCACTCAGTATGTTTTTAGATTGTATTTTGCCTTACAGAAAGCTTTTATTGTAAGACTGATTTCCCTTTGGACTTTATTATATAGTCACAGTAAAAATCTTTATTTTCTAATTTTTTCAACATATTGTTCAGTGTAGTGAAGCTTTATTATTTTATAAAAATACTTTCTTATAAAATACTTTCTTATTTTGTAAAAAAAGAATATTTTAAGAGGCATCTTACAAATTTTGCCCCTTTTATGAGGATGTGATAGTTGCTGCAAATAATGGGTTTACAGAAACATATGGTCCATATAAAATAGAAAATATACTAATGTTTGACAAAAAAACATATAAGCAAGCAATGAGTCCTTGACCTTTTGGATATTATACAAAACCCCAAATCTTGAGCAATAAAATAAATGCCCTATTTTCAAAAACTGATGACCCAGATAGCAGAGGCAGCTATCCTGTTGATACTGCTACTAAGACTACCCTCTTAAACTACTTCTAATTATCCTGTAATATTACACCAAACCCAGCATCGTAATTTATAAGATTTACCACTTAAAGTTCAAACACTTGCTTCCAATATAAAACAAGGTAATCTGCTAAACTAAAGGTGGAAATTCATAGAAAAGAACCTTTGGTGTGGTGCCAAGGGTTGCCCTGTATCTTGCATGTTTCCCACTGAGTCCAAATTTTTGAACTCTCCTTCCAATGTCCCTTGCTTCTTTTTAACTGGATGCTATACTGAGACCATAATCTCATTTGTGCAATCAGGAATAATTCACATTTGGTCCTGGGATGATCCCAGTTTGGAGTAAAGTGTAACCTCAGCAATTATACCTTTTGGCTCCCATTACCTTTCACTGAGACTCTTGTCCTAATGCACCAAATAAAACCTCAGGTAATGTTTCAACTCCTTTGTGCTTCATACTCTAAAACCAACAGGGCAAAATGCAGCTTGAGGCAGCATTAAAAATCTTAAAAGTCTTATTCTTGCCTCTCTTCTTCCTACATGGAACATTCATTTGTTCCATTCATTCATTCTAGATGTTATCTAGTGTCCATCAGATAAATACCAGGGCAATGGAGAATTCCTGTTGGCTGAGGATTTAAAAACAGTTGTGGGCCTCCCCTGGTGGCACAGGCAGTTGAGCGCAGCGCTGTGAGGCTGTCCGCAGCCTCTGCAGTGCAGGTTCGATCCCGGCTGGCCGGCGAGATACACACATGGCGTGGCAGACCTCTCCTGTCTCGCCCGCCTCCCTCTCCTCAGCAGTGTATTTCAGTCAGTCTGCCTGTTCTGTTGCTCGCTCTGTCTCTGGTGAATCCTCTCACCCTCCCGCACATCTGACCTGTACCCCAGTCCTTGTATGCATGAATATTTAAAAAAAAAATCAAAAATTAAAAAAATAAACAGTTGTGGGTTGACCAACTGCCTTCAGAGAGTCAAATTCCCATCCCTACCCCTCCAAACTGTAGGTTGATAGCTTCCTCCCAATGCCAGTAAAGCTAGACATAGCTGTTGTCTATCTCTCAAAAATCCTTAAGTGATACAGATGTACATATGTATGAGTGTTTCTGGAATTTTCTAACATCTCTATTAGAAGAGGCTGGAAGAGAAAAAAAGGGAAAAAAAAGAACTTTAGAATATTTCCAAATTTCAAATATTTAGGGAAGATACTGAAAATGGATGCAGTAAAGTTTATAATTTATCTTTCATATACATTTAGCTTTTGTAGTTGATGAAACATTTGATTTTGTATAATCAAGATAAAGATGCATTAATATGTTGTTCTATTGCTTTTAATTAAATTAGAGGCCCAAATGCCTCTTTACCTTAAGTGATGAACTAATAATGATGGTGGTTGTCCATTTTATTTTTTCTTTTCCATCACTTTCAGCCATCTGTCTGTCTTTGGATCAACCAGTTTCTAATGGTGCCACAACCTGAGCAAAAATAAGAGCACATGAAATGTTTGATAAATGAGTAAAAAAGAGAGAAATTAAACTAGGGAAATGTAGACATTCCAAAGAGTAACTGAAAGTCAAAATCTGACATGGAAAAAATCCCTACTGTAATGCATTAAGGTTTTCAATACTATGTTTCCTATTAATTATTAAAAGCAGTGGTACCAAGAACTATGAAAGGTCTGAGATTATAACCTATTTAAAAGCTAAAAAGTTAGCCTGCCAGAGTTTCATGGATACAGCAAAAAACAAGACTCTTTGAGTTAGAGACAAAAGATAATTTTATACTCACAGCTATAAGAGTATCATTTTCCTGCAACAATTTCCTGAATCCAATTCCCACAGGGTGATGGGAGCAAAGGCCAGATAAAATCAGCATACACATCCTGATGTGCATGACTCCCAAGCTTAGGAACCCCCAATCTTTTATAATGGGCCACAAGCAAATCTGCTTTCTGTTCTAGATAGAACTACTATCTCTAACTTATATAGTCATTTACTATACAAACATCCTTGAAAAGACAGTTTAGGGGTATGGCTAGGATACTTGCGTTTCTAACAAGTACACTGTTGATGCTGGTCTGGGATTACACTTTAATAACCACCCCACTAAGAGAAGGAAGAACATTTCAGGTAACAGCAAGCACTGAACACTAGCAACCAAATGAGTAAGGGGCCTCCCTGGTGGTGCAAGGGGTTAAGCACCGCACTATGAAGCGATCTACAGCCTCTGCAGCATGAGTTCGATCCCCATCCAGCCAGGGAGCTACTGCCCCCATGGCACAGCAGACCTCTCCTGACTCGCCAGATGCTCCCCTCAGCAGTGTATTTCAGTCAGTCTGCCTGTTCTGTTCCCCATTTTGTCTCTGGTGAATCCTCTCACCTCCCGCGCCTCTGGCCTGTCCCCCAGCTCTTGTATGCATAAAAAAATAAATCTTAAAAAAAAATTAGAGATAAACATCCCTCATGAAAAAAGACCTGAAAGTCCTTAACTAAGTATCAGCACCCAGAATCCAGAAATATATAAATAGAATTATAGACCTTTTAGAAGGGTAGGAAGGAGAAAAGGGGGATAAAGACCCAATGGAGTATGGTGGAGGATTATTGGTGCTTTGATGATGGGTGTGGTGTGGTAACATGTATTTGAAGAAGTGTGAAGCTATACCCCTAAATCACATACAGGGTTGTAAACCAATGTTACCTCAATTTTAAAAAATGATACAATTTTTAAAAAGAATTAAAGACCTTTAAGCCCAAGTAGAATTTATGGTAGGAATACAAGATTGGTTCAAGGTTCAAAAATAAATAAGAGTAATATATCAATACTAATAAAATAAAGGACAAAACATTACATGATCACCTGATTAAATGCAGAAAAAGTATTTGCTAAAATTCAATACAGTCATAACAACACACTCAACAAATCTAGAAGGAAATTTCAGCCTAATACAAGGCATCTGTTTTTTTAAAAAAAAAACTCCAGCTAATATCATACTTATGGTGAAAGAACTCATTGTTTTCATCTAATGTTCTGAAATAAGGTAAAGATACCTGCTATGGACACTTTATATTTCAAATATACTTTGGGAAGGAAATGAAAATTACCTATATTTACAGATGGCGTGAATCTGTATTAGAAAGTCCTAAGAAACACACACTTGTGTGTGAATGAATGAATTCACTAGAATGAATAAGATAGAAGTATATAAGATCAATATATATTAGCAAATAATAATTTTTAATGGAATTAGGAAAACTGCCTTCACAACAGTAAAGAAATAAAATCTTAAAAAATAGATTTAACTAAAGAAGTGCAAGATATATCTTGAGAACAACTAAGCATTGCTAAAATGAATTAAGGAAGATCTAATAGTGATATTCACAGTTCATGGATTAGATACTCAATAAAGGAATTCTCACCAAATTGATCTCTACAGATAATAAATTAAAGTACTACCAAAAGCCTAGTAAATTTTCTTCCTTTCTTCCTATGTTTATTGTCTCCCTTTGACTTTTATAGAATGTCAAATTGATCTTAAAATTTATATGAAATGTAAAGAACCAGGAATAATCAAGACAACTTTGAAAAAGAAGAAAAAAGCGGAAAATTCAATTTCAAAACTTAAACATAAAGGCACCACAAACGAGAGACTATAGTTTTGGCATAAGATGGCCATATAAACCATGGGAAATGAATTAAAAAATAAAACTTTATACTTAAGGTTAAAAAATTCATTGTTTTGTTTCTTTATAATAAACCCTTTAAGACTTTGAAGTGTGACTTGGTGTTGATAAATTCTTTTAGATTTTGCTCTTCAGTGAAACTCCGGTCTTGAATTTTAATCTTGCAAAGGATTCTGGGTTGGATAACTTTCTCTTTTAAGTACTTTAAATATCTTCTGCCAATCCCTTTGTGCTTATGTTTCCACTGAAAAGTCCACTGGCAGTCTGGTATTCCCTCTTAAGTCACCCTTTATTCTCTTGATGCTTTTAGTACTCTGCCCTTGTCATGTATTCAACAGTGTTACTTGATGTGTGTCTGTCTAGTATTATCTTGTTTAGGGCTCTTCGGGCCTCTTGGGATTCAGAATATCTGGCTTGCTTCCAACTTTCCCAAGTTCTCAACAATTATTTCTTTTTTTTTTTTTTTTCAAAGTTTTTTTTTTTTTTTAATAGAGGCATGCTTTATTTATTTGTTTGCTGGTTTCTTTGTTTGTTTTGTTTATACATGCACTGGGTACAGTCAGAAGCGCGGGAGGGCGAGAGAATTCACCAGAGCCAGAGCGGGGAGCAGAGCAGGCAGAAGGACCGAAGTACACTGCTGAGGGGAGCAGCGGGCGGCAGGAGAGGTCTGCGCGCCATGTGGGACCCTCCTCCGGTGGCCGGGGAGCAGCCGGGGATCGAACCGGCGCCGCAGAGGCCGCGTGCAGCTTCGCAACCCAGCGCTCAACCGCTGCGCCACCGGGGAGGCCCTCAACAATTATTTCTTTAAATAAATTTTCTATCTTTCTCTTCGTCACCTCTTTCTAGGATCCCCATATGCTATTTCTCTTTAGGTTATCCCAAAAGGCATTTTCACTATTTTCGTATTTTTTCCATTGTTCTATTTGTGTTTTCTCTGACATCGTGTTTTCAAGTTCATTAAATCTCTTCATTACTTGCAGCTATCTACTGTTGCGGTCCTCCACTTTATTTTTTAGTTCAGTTTCAGTATTTCTTGACTTCATTACTTCTAACTGCCATCTATTTTTTGGCCTTCATTCTGATGTTGTTTTACGTTCTCCATTGTTTTTTGATTTCCAGACAGTGTTATAACTATTACCTTGAGCACCTCTTCAGCCATGCTCCATAGGATTGTAACTCCTCCTGGAATGTTTTTCTACAACATTTGTAACATCATCTTCTGTCTCTACATTTTTAATTTTCATGGGTTGTAACAGGGATAGACGGTTCAAATTTCAGCCTTTAAACCTACTGAAGTAATCAGACAACTGGTACCAATAAGGGACAGTAGGTAAAAAAGAAGGACTGAATAGGCAGCAAAGGATCACCTCCAGTGAGCAGCAGGGATTCAAGCTCCCTACTGTGCTGTGGATACCAACTTACATGGTAGTGATTCACCTCGAGACTGTTTCTGAGCAAGATGTAGTTTTCCACACATATAGTTGATATGGGGTCACAGACCAGAAATACCTCTTTTCTAGCACAGAGCCTTATCCTGAGACTGTGTGTATCTGCTCCTGTTATTGCAGGTGCTTAAACTCTGGTTTATACAAGTGTTCATTTGTTTTGATTTCAGCCCTGAGATGTAGGATGGCAGGTGTTTAAAATAACCCGGCTTAAGCCTACGTGAGGACACGTGATCCAATCTGTTTCTTTAGACGACCATTCCCTGACTCCCTCCAGCTCAGTTGGTATTTGTAAGAATTGCTTGGTATGGGAAAAAACCATCACACATTTGGTGACCAGAAGTAAAGTGTTTTGGGGCCTCCCCGGTGGCGCAGCGGTTGAGCGCTGGGTTGCGAAGCTGCCCGCAGCCTCTGCAGCGCTGGTTCGATCCCTGGCTGCTCCCCGGCCACCGGAGGACGGTCCCACATGGCGTGCAGACCTCGCCTGCCGCCCGCTGCTCCCCTCAGCAGTGTACCTTGGTCCATCTGCCTGCTCTGCTCCCCACTCTGACTCTGGTGAATTCTCTCACCCTCCTGCACTTCTGACTGTACCCAATGCTTGTATAAATAAATCTTTAAAAAAAAAAAAAGTAAAAAAAAAAAAAAGTAAAGTGTTTTATATAAGTAGTAAAGGAGACCCACAGGAAAGAAACACACCATAGGGAAGAGCTGGGATTTTTCCTATATGAAGAAATGAAACTGAGTTTTTTTATCTTTTATACCTAATAAACACTACTTCAGCCAGGTGGTTAAAGTCTCTATCAACAATCATAAATTGTGTCAATAGTATGTGCTATTGATATGATGTAGTCTGCTTCTCACTAACCAATAACCCCAGTCCTATCATGAGAAAACACCAAACAAATGCCAATGGTAAGGCAGCCTACAAAATATTTGACCAGCATTCCTCAAAGTTGTTGAGGTCATCAAAAACAAAAAAGGTCTGAGAAATTAGCACAACCAAGAGAAACCTATGGACAATTTACCATTAAATGTAATTTGGCATACTGGTTGGAATACTAGAACAGGAAAAAAAAAATTAAAAACTAAGGAAATATGAGCAAACTATGGACTTCAGTTAGTAACAATATAGTAATATTAGTTCATAATAATAACAATGTATTATACTAATTAGGATGTCAATAACAGGGGAAACTAGGTAAAGAATAGTGAGCATACTCTATACTCTCAAATTTTCTATAAATGTACAACTAGGGTTTTTTGTTTTTTTTATTTTACTTCTTCAAGGTCCTTAATCTCCTACAAGAAACTATCCTTAATCCCCTCAAACTAAAGGAGGCCTCTCTTTCCTTGGACTCTGCCTTATACCACCTCTGTTGAGTACCATATTTCCCCCATTAAATCATAAGCAAAGTACCAGCCAAATTCATATTCTCCATGTTACTTAATTCAAAGTTAGTTTGAAGTAAAATTTAGAAACCAACTAATCCATATGAAAGTCACCTTGAGAGATGGTGAGCTACTTTCTCCTAAGGCAGTTTTATTCTCCTTTTGAGCAACTCTAATAAGAAAGTTCTTCCTGCTGGGTTGAAGCCAGCTGCTCTATAATTTCCTCATTTATTGCATGAATGAATGAATAAGTTAACTAGCTCTATGAGAGAAAGGACACCTTTTGTTTTACCTAATACTCTATCTCCAGTACCTAGCACACAGCAATCAAAAAATATTTGTTTTGGAATGACTAGAATGGTTAGCTGGCTGGGAAAGAGCTGCAATTTTTATTCACCATCTCCCTTCCCCTCCCACAATTTAACTTACTGTCTAGCTAAAGAAAACCCACCCGATAACACCCACACAATATACAGTTATTTAAGTCTTCACACCCTTATCGGGAAAAACCAAATGAAAAAATTAGCAGGCAACTATAAATCAGTGACATTCTGAAGGGAAGGGGAGGTAGAGGAATCAAAAAACTGGGATGAGAAGAGCACAAGGGACTATGGTAATGGCTCATGGCTGAACTAGTGGTGGGAATTTACCGGGACTACACCTGAAAGGAGAACGCATACAAGCATGCCCTGTTCAAAAATGAACAGTGATGTAAAATATATATAAATTTTAAAAATTAATAAAAATCTAAACCTTCACACCTTTATAAGCAATTTAAATAAAGCTAATTTTGTGCGTTAATAAGTGAGAAAGGAACTGGGGTCAAGTAGATCCCAACAGTATACGGCTAATGACTACACATGAATCAGAAAATTGGGGTTACCACAGCAAGGGAACCTGAGGAACTCTCCAGAACTAGCAGCCAAGTGCAAGGCTCATCCACTTCAGGCCTATGTAACTGGGCAAACCACTCCACCCCCAGCTAGCCTGCTTTCTCATCCGAAAATAAAAGGCTTCAGGGTCTCCCTTGTGGGCGCAAGGGGTTAAGTCTCAGCACTATGAAGCTATCCGCAGCCACTGCAGCAAGAGTTCAATCCCCGGCCATGGAGCTACCCACATGGCCCAGCAGACCTCTCCTGATTCGCCCGCTGCTCCCCTCAGCAGTGTATTTCAGTAGATCCACCTGCTCTGCTCCCCACTCCGTCTCTGGTGAATCCTCACACCTCCCGGCCTGTACCCCAGCTCTTGTATGCATAAATAAATCTTAAAAAAAAAGAGGCCTCACCCCAATGCCTCTTAAGCCTTTACCAGCCACAAAACCCTAGTATTCTGGATTTTGCTGTAATTTTATTTTTCTTAAGTTTTCAATTTTTTTTTCCCCAGCACGTAAAAGAACTGGGGAGTACGCCAGAGGTCTAGGGGATGGGGGAGGGAAGAGAGGCTCCACCAGAGACAGAGTGGGGAACAGAACAGCCAGGCTGACTGAAATACACTGCTGAGGGGAGCAGCGGACGAAGTCAGCTCCCTGGCCGGGGATTGAACTCCAGCCAAAGGCGTGACAGTGCTGAGATGCAACCAACAGGCCAGCAGGGAGCCTAAATCAATCTAATACTGCACAATAACTCCTGTGAAAGTTCACGCTTAGTCGCCTCACCCGTCACGTAAAAGGTTAGGTCTCAATTTTCAAAGGCCCTCCCATTCTTTGCCTTTTTGGACCCCGCCCCAGGAGGGGGAGGGGAAGCCAGGACCCACATCTGAAGTAAATAATATATAAATTCCCAGGATGGAAGACCGGTCTTCTGAAAGGGAAGTAGTTCCACAATGTTTCGTGAAAGGAAACCCCTTCCCACACAGAATTGAGGCCCGAGGTCTCAACGAAAGAAAAAGGTGAGGCGGGTCCCCGCTCACGCCGCCGCCCTGAGGTAAATACTTGGTCTGGGCAAGCCTGGAGAAAAAACAACACTGGCAGAAGAGAGAAAATCGAAAAAAGAAAACCAAACCAGTTGATGAGTCGGGTTCTCAGCAGCCTCATCCCCACGCCTGCAAACACACCTGTTCAGCAAGCAGTTTTCAAGCTTCCAGAACGTTCCACCAGCGCCGCGACAGCGCGAGCGACCTGGCGCAGCTCCCAGCCAGCAGACGACGCTCTGAGCGCGCCCCCGCGAGGCTTCTGCGCAGGTGCAGGCCCTCTGGCCCCGCCCAGGCCCTCTGGCCCCGCCCAGGCCCTCTGGCCCCGCCCCTGCGTTTCTGCCTCTTTAGAATGCAGTTTGCAGAAGCCCCTAAGTGGTTAAGTAAAAGCGTGCTTTTTATTTGTTGTAGACTTAATTGACTGGAATTGGGACTGGAATTTTCAGAGTCTTCAAAAATGTAGGCTCAGTTCTTGTACTGCTACTACTAAAAGCATAAAAATCAAATGATGGAGTTTCCATATCATGAAAGATAATACTCACATTTTCAGTAATGGCTATAAAAATATTTGTGTTTGCTCATGTGTTTGTTCTTCAGGGCTCCATTGTTTTCAGACTTAATTGGAGCTCCACAAGTTATTAGATACCGGTGCTGAGGACTATAAAATTTTTAAAAGGCAGAAAAAGTAAAATCATTTGCCTGGAGCCTGATGTTTAGGATACAAAACTTACTTAGTATCGCTTTATAAAATATGTATAACTGAACAAAAAAGTGCTCCAGGAAAAATCCTTTGGAGCACGTTTGTCATGTGCCGTAATTGTTAATCTCTGAAGTAACCATTTTTTAAATTTGGAGTTTCGTATAATTTACATTATTAAAATTAGATGCACTCTTTTGCTGCCTCTGTTGACTTTGTTACGGGAAACCAGGACAGATCAGAAAACTAAAGGATTCGAGGAATTGACTGAAGGCGGTCGGTGTTAGGGGTGCGGGCGGGGTAGATGCACAGATTTGTAAATCCGTCTCTCCACTGTATCACAAGGAAAGTTAGTTTGGTTGAGGGCCAGGACTTCAGTTCTGCTAGTGAAAATGCCAAGTGCAAAGAAAAGTGCTTTCTGAGGAGGATACTCAGAATAGGGAGGGAGAAGAAAACTCATTAACAAATTATCTTGTACCAGACATTATGATGGATACTTTACATTCATGATTTTATAAATGTTTTCCATAAATGCTGTAAAGTATATGTTCTTATTTTAAAGATAAGGAAACTGGGACTGAAAAACATTATGTCATTCTGTCTAAACAACAGCCAGTGAAAAAAGAGCTGGGGTTCAAACCAAAGGCTATCAGATATCTAGGCCATATCCTTAACCTCTACAGCAACTCCTCCACACCTGAACCCAGTTACAAGATCTAGGAGACACTGTAAGTCACACGAGAAGCAAAAAGGACTTAAAGCTATAAACGCTGGAGATGGCATTCATTGTTCTTCTCTCTTCCTCCCTTTAATTTGTCCTTCCTTTCTTCATTCAATTAACAAACATCTGTGTAGAAGAAATTGCCAGGTTTCAAATCATGTGTCCCCATTTACTTAGCTATGTGACCACTGATAAGTGACAACTCAGTTTCCCTATCTTAATATAAGGACAATAATTGTGCCAGTTCATAGGTTGATATATAAGCCTTTTAGAACAGTGCCTAAAACAGAAGCACTCAGTATAAACCTATTTTTATTATTATCCAAGTGTTCTCTTAATGTTATCTCTGCTATTGTACTATATCTACCTAGTCCATTCATTTCCCACTCTCCTAGATAAAGTTTTCATACCTTCTTTTCAAATCGCTAGCCTTTCTTCTTCGTCCTCACTTTCAACTGAAGATCTTAAGTCATTTGATATCAATAAAAACATCAGAAAGGGATGCCCACAAGCACATCTGCCATCAACTGTACCCACAGATTTTGTTTTCCTTTCAATTATACTAGCTGAACTGTGTATATTCATATATTAGTCTAACCTTCCACCTCAACATTAGATCCCATTGCTTCTTGTTTACTCAAAAGCATAGTTCCAACCATTCTCTCTTGTCTCTCTTAAAACATCACATTTCTCCTCTTTATTGACCATTCTCAATAGAAAATAAGTATGCTATTATTTCTCTCACCTTAAAATCTCTTGATCCCACTTCTTACTCCAGTTAACCATCCCATTCTCTGTTCTCACAGTAAAATTTGAAAACATTGTCTATAATTTGTTTTTAATACTCCTTCCCCCATGTTTTAAATGTACTCCAATCAAGCTTTTCCATTTCCATCATGACATATAAATTACTCTTGTCAAGGTCATTGCTAAATCCAGCAGACAGTTTTCAATAGGAATTTTACTTGGCTAATCAGCAGTTGTTTTGTTGTGCTTTTTTTTGGTTTGGTTTGGTTTGGTTTTTTGGTTTTTGTTTTTTTGCAGGTGATCACGTCTTCCTCTTGGAAACATTTTCTTCCTATGCCTCAAAATTTTCTTTTAACCTCTCTGATCACTCCCAACATTCTTTATTGTTTTTTCCTCAATACCCAACCTCTTAGGAGTGCCCCAAGTGAACCCCTTTTTCTCTCTGATTCTACTCACTCCCTTGGTGAAATCATGAGTTAGAGGCTTTAGAAATCTTCCATATTCTAAGATATCCCAAATTTTTATTTCTCACCCTAGACGCTCCCCAAACTCCAAATTGATAAATAACTGCCTATTTAATATTTTCACTAACAAATATCTCAAATTCCACACACCCAGAACTGACCTTCTAATTTCCCTCTGCAAACCTGTACCACCATGCTCTTCCCCATCTCAGTTAATGATGTTTTTTTCCTTGTTTTTAAAGTTACGTACTTTATCTCCTCCATGCCCCACTTGTTGGTAGCCTCCAATAGATCCAGAGCTTAACCTCTCCCTGTTCTGAACCACAGTCAACTCTCACTTGGATCATTACAATAGCCTCCCAACAGGTTTCCTGTTTATGCCTTGCCCCTTGAAGTCCTTTTACAAATATAGCAACTAAGGTAATCCTGTTGAAATAGAAGTCAGATTATATCTTTCTGATTAAAACTCTCTAATGGCTCTCCTCTGAGAAAGCTAAAGTCCTCATGATGACCTACAAAGTTTGGCGTGACCCAATTTCCCTATTAGCTATTATATTAGTTAAAAACAGGCTATTTTTCACCTTGCACATGGCAGATGGCCCATACCTTGAAAAAATTGTTTTCCAGCGCTGGGAAAACAACAAACAACAGATGGGCCTTGTGTTTGCAACAGTGTGTCAGTTGTGCAGCTATGGGCATTTAACAGTGTGAAGCGGTTAGGCAGGGAGTTGTTCTGCTTCTCTGTTGGAGTTTCCATTGCTCTGTTTGCCTGCCTGTGTGTGTGGTCCCTTGGCTCAGCATTAAAGGACTACAAAAATCTACCAAAGACTCCCAATTTTTCTTTTCATCTGTGAGAAGTGACAATGAACCTATCTGGCTTCGGATGGTGCATGACAGCTATCTGAACACTTCCAGGGCTCTTCTCTTGATTCTGCTATCCCAGCCTTAGCCCCCTCCCTGTTCCTTCTACCTGCTTGACAAGCTGTTGCTGCAGAGCTTTTGTACCAGCCTTTCTGTCTAAAGTCCTCTCCCCTAGATATGTTCGTATCTCATGTAATACTCCTCCAAATCTTAGCTTAACTATTTCATCTTCCCAGTAAAGCCCACCCTGACTTCTTCACTTAAAATTGGAACTTGTGGGCACTGTGAAGCTATTAGCAGCCACTGCAGCATGAGATCGATCCTCGGCCAGGGAGCCAACAGACATGTCTACACACAGTAGACCTCTCCTGTCCTGCCAGCTGCTCCCTTCAGCAGAGTATTTCAGTAGATCCCCTATTCTACTCCCCATTCTGTCTCTGGTGAATCCTCTCATTCCCCCTCCCCTGCTCTTCTGGCCTACACCCCAGTTCTTATATGAATAAATAAAAATAAATCTTTAAAAAATAAATAAATAAAATAAAATTGGAGCTGCTCCTGATCCCTCTTAGGCTGCACTGTATTTTTCATAGTATTTGTCACCTTCTAACATACTATATAAGTATTACATTTAATGTTACAACCTCCTTTCACAAGAATATAAACTACACAAGGAAGGGATTTTTGTGTTTTGTTTTGCTAATGAATCTGGCCCCTAGAACAATGTCTGGTACTTAGTAAGTTATATTAATGACCATTAATAAACTTAGTCAAAGGTTGAAATATCACTCACCCTCACATATAAATTCCTTCTTTTTTTTTTAAATTCCTTCTGTCTTAATGGTGACATATCAAACTTCACTGAATGTTAGAAGCTATAAGATAAATAGTGCCAATGAGTGCATCTATTTTTATTGAAATTCTTAGGCTTATTATTTTCAAACTTGAATTAGTTTATTTCAAGCTTAGATCTTCTGGGTCTGTTAGGGGGAAAGGATGTCCTGAGCAAACTCCATACAGGGTTTGTAGATGCCACCCCTACTCCATCAAGACACTGGGAATTACAAATCCCATGAGCCCCAAAGGGAAGTTGCGAGGACCTAAGGGTGGAGTTAAGCAACCATTTTCTCTGTTTGTAAATAAAAACTAGCCATGTTAGCGGGGTTTCAGGCACTTGTCTGGTGCTCTTGGCCAGGCAGCTTTGGTCTCGGCTGGTCATTTGGGATTCCAGGTCGTCGGAACAGGTAGGACACATTTAAGAATTTTTCTCCCTCTTTTCTCCCTGAGTTGTACATTTCCTCATTTCCCTTTCCCTTGTAAACAGACCTTTGTTAATCTTTGGTGTGTGCCTGCAGTTTAAGTACCCTTTAAGCGCACGTGAGGACCCACAGTCAGGCAACCTGTTTTATATCGGGGTTGCCCCGTAACAGGTCCAGGCTAACTAATTTGTCTGAGAAATATTTGCAGGAAATAAACCTTTAACAGCTATCTTTGCTAACAAGTTTTCATTTGGAAGGCTTATGTATTATGATTCATTCATTACTGGAACAAATAAGGCTGCTTGAGCTGTGCTTTTAAAGGTGTTACACAATGCAGGCCCAAATATATTGAAATTGAATACACAAATATATTTGGCATTTCATAACAGCTCAACTCCCTGATTCATTACTCACTGGAATTCCTACACAGAAATATGTTCAGTTTATACTCCTACTTAGTGTCAGAACATTCCTAATTCAGCAGCTGTGAGAAAGT